ATCCCTGGGAGTTCAGAAGGTAACCGGTCCGTAGTTAAGGAGAAATTCACTTTGTGGCTCAACAGTTTCCCGCATGATACATGGCGAAAACACGATCCCGAATGTGTGGGTGCTATGGCGTGTGACAGAATAAACATCGCGCCGAGCCCACGTTATGGACATACTGCGGTTCTCTACAAGTGAGCACAGGAAATCATCCAGGAACCTATAGTTTCACCCGTTTCACGCGAGGTGACGTATTACTCGGCGAAAAACGCGATATCCGTGCTAAGCAGTAGTCGTGGAATATGTTTTCATATCAACGGGTGAAACTCGAGTTCCCGGTTAGAAATTTTGAACTTTCCACATGACTAGGAACATATTCTTCAATTAGTTTCATACCTTAATTTCATCACATTAGGACCATCTTATCAAACCTTGGAGAACATTATATCTTAATGTTGAATGGGTCTCGGAGTGTACAGTGGAGTTTCACCCTAGTGATATGAAAAAACACTAGCGAAATATATTCCAGGACTACTGCTTAGCGCGAATATCGCGTTTTTCACAGAGAATTACGCCACTTCACGTAAAATGGGTTGTGAAACTCCAGTGTTTTGGTGATGCTCCTGAGAGTCCTTGCATTAGGAGTTGGAATTTCGAAAGGGATGTTAGTAACCATCCCACGATGTGCAAATCGGTTGCCGGGACCGGGAATCGAACCTGCGGCCCTGAGTGCATTGAGGACACCTCGTGCATGGCGCCAACAGACATGGAAAAAACCTGGACTAATGATAGGTGGGAAGACTCTAATGATATATTATTCATATAGGTATTTGGTAATATTATATCAATCGTATATATTTCACTATTATTATTTATCTATATTACAGTTTGTATTGATATAATTGTTATATTTATAACACTAATAGAATACGACTAAAGAGATATAATTACAACACTATAGATAATAATTTATTACAGTTAGATGAAATACAATAGTTTATCAAGGTTGGATAAAATACAACAATTTATCATATTCATTATTCACCAATATTAATATGTTATTTTATTCCATGAATATATGACCCTTATATTGATGAGAGTATATGTGAAATTAGAGCGCAGTTTCACGCTGGTGATATGAGGAGCACTAGTGGAAAATACAGTTTACGACTCACTTGACGGAAAACAACTGTCGCGGAAACATACACATCTGATAATTTACAGGGAGTATTGCGACGCCACTTCACGTTAAACGGGTGAAACTCCAGTGTGTGCCAAATTGATATGCAAATGTGCGTTATTTCCCCCTTCTGATATTAAAAACACTAGTGAAAAACAAATCTTAGGACTACTGCATATCACCGCGAGTATCGCGTTTTTCGCCGAGTTTTACGTCAATTCACTTTCGAATTCAAGTCAAAAACTCGAGTCGAAAACGTTCGAGTTTTACGTGAAGTGGCGTCGTAAAACTCGGTGGAAAACGCGATATTCGCGGTCATATGCAGTAGTCGTGAAATATGTTTTTCATATCACTAGGGTGAAAATCCAATATCATATCGCACAGTGAGTGGTTCGCACCTTTCTTTCGTGAAAACGTTCGTGGTCATACCACGCCATGTACAGCATGAAGCGAATCATATATTGACAAAGCTGTCACGCTGATTCATGACAGACAACAATACTTTGTAGATATTTCGATACGGCTCAACCTGAATTCTGGACACTCCCATATTTCGATACGGACGATGGGGAAGCTTTTCCTAAATTCGATCATCACGACATCGAATGTCCTCCCTATTGCTGTGGTGAAGTGAGTCGAGCTTTCTCCCTCGGGGAAAATAATGGAGTTTCACCCTAGTGATATGAGGAACACTAGTGGAAAGCATATTTTACGACTACTACAGGCCGCGAGTATCGCGCTTTTCACCGAGTTTTACGACGTCACTTCACGTGAAACGGGTAAAACTCCAATTTTCCATGAACGTATGCATCGTCAACTCAACAGTTGAAAACTCCGAAGATCAAAGAGTAGAAATGAAAAGTCACCATCTATAGACGGGAAAGAAAAAGGGGACAGACTTTGTGTCGCAACGATTGTCGACTGAATCGAGATACTACACATACGTGGAAAGTAACTAGACTAACGGGCTTTACCAGTGTGGGAAAATATGAACATGGTCAACTATATATGTTGGTGACAAGATGAAAATTTTGGGGAATTTCTCATTGATTTACCCGAATTCGTGTATAAACTCCTATAATTAGTGAGGAAACTTCTGAGCACAGCTGAGGAAAGCGAACATATATTCAAATACTGGGCTTTCCGAATCAAGTTTTTATCATTGGGCTCGTTCCGAACGATTACTGCGAGTGATGGTATGCACTTTGTCTCAGCGGCGTATGTGCTTGCGTACACACGATGAACATGGAAAAAAGATACCGTTTGATCGACAGTAAGGTAACGCTGAAACTTCACATCGCGAAAAGTGTAAAAAACTCTAACACTACTCGAAATGTGTTGATGACAAAATGAAAATTCTGAGGAGTTTTCATTGGTTTCTGTACACTTCTACTCAAGTTCGTGCGTAATCACATCAATGAGGAAACTTCTGAGCGAACTTATATTTCTCCAACACCAGAGTATTTTATAAGGATTAAAAACACCTTTTAAAGGCGCGAAACTAATTAGAAATTTCTGTGAGCTCCGTGTGGAATTAAAGAACTCAGGTGTATTTCGCTACTCTAATACTTATTGCAAACACGACAGGAAAAATGTGTCGATAATCGGAAAAGTTTTAATAATTAACGCACGTGAGCAGACCGCACGAAATGTAGGTCTTTCAGAACAAGAAGAATCTAAAACTCCGGAACGCATCTTCACGCCCTTGAAAAACTGGCCTGGAATTGGGGAAAGTTTCCCAATCCTCGTCAAAACCCATTAATAGAATTATTAAATAAATTATTAATTTATTAATTAGAATTATTAGAATTATTAATTTTTCGTTATTCTATTAGAATACTCTGTCCAACGCTCGACAGATACCTGTTCGTATTCGGTGGGCGCACCTATGAAGGTCGTGAATATAAAGGGAAAACTGTTTATAATCATTGCGAAGAAATCCTGAGGGAAGAGACAAACGTTGATGAAGAACTTCGGGGATGTCTCGAGTGAGCTTATTGGAGTTCAACTCGTTTTACGTGAAGTGGCGTAATACTCCATGTGAAAAACGCGATATGGAGTGAAAATACTCGGCGAAATACACCCTGACAAATCACCTTATCTCACGTAAAACATATCACGCGTTTTTCGCGGAGTGAAATATGGAATACGCTCTTCACTAGTGTTTTTCATATCACTGGTGAAACTCCATTTTAGTCTCCTCCATTTTTGGCATGCAACAAAGTAAATAGGGAGGGGCCGCATGCTGATTTATGATTGATGAACTCCGTCTGCTGCATGGAGTAATGCTGTCACCATTTCAATGGGGCTTCACTCGTGGTATGAAAAACACTTTCCACACATCGCGAAAAACGCGTAAAACACATACGGTGCTTTTTTACTCACTGCGTTTTTGCGTTGGTAGATATCAAAGCGAAGAATTGTGGAGATATGATTTCGTAGAAAATAAATGGGATTTCATCAAACCAATGGTGAGTTATTCGATTCAGCAGTGGAGTTTCACCCTAGTGAGATGAAAAACACTAGTGGAAAACATATTTCACGACTACTACATAGCGCAAATATCGCGTTTTTCACTGAGTTTTACGCCACTTCACGTAAAACGGGTGAAACTCCAGTACATTGCAATTCAATTCGATATGCAAATGTGAAAAAATATATGCGTTATTCTCCGTGATTGTTGAGAATCAATCTGAAACTATAACGCATATGCAATATTAATGCATATCACCGCAAATATCGCGTTTTTCACCGAGTTTTACGACGCCACTTCACGTAAAAAACGGATGAAACTCCAATAAACACACTAATTTTCATTCCCTTGAAAAAAGACGTCATGTTGGTCTCCCTCAGACTTCTGTTGATGAATCGACAGGTCAAGAGGTTGGAGTGCCTCAAGGACGGTACGGGCATGCAGCTACTATGGTTGTTATGGACGCACAATATGATCCTGATTCGATTCGCAGACAGTGAGTGATCTAGTTGAATACGAATTTACAGTGGAGTTTCACGACTACCCGTTTTACGTAAAGTGGCGTCGTAATACTCAATGTGAAAAACACCATATTTCGCAGTGATATGAAGTGGTCGTAAAATATGTTTTTCATATCACTAGGGTGGTGAAACTCCAGTGTTGTAATTTTACACCTTTTATGAGTAACCGCTCGTTATATGATAAATTCACTTACAGTTAGAAACTTTACGACGAGTTATGATATTCAGTGCAAGATGATATTAACATGGTTAGCTCCATGTGTTGGTATTTCTGGACATTCGAACTTGCGCGTATTTTTTCGCATTGGTCGTCACAGTAGAGCATTTTTTCTGATTCTTCATATCGGTGAGGTTTTTATAGCTCTGAAGAACCAGTCTTAGAGGTAACGCGATAGAGGCTGAATGAGAAAATATGCACATGGTCAACTACATATGTTGTTGACAAAATGAAAAATTCAAGAAATTTTGGTTTCTATACAATTTTACCCAAAATTATGTGCAAACTCGTATGTCAAGTGAGAAAGTGAAAATATGCGCATGGTCAACTACATATGTTGTTGACAAAATGAAAAAAATAAGGAAATTTTGGTTTTATAAAGTGGTTGAGTAAAGTGGATATATATTCCAACACTATCTGAACTAGGTACATGTACATTTTCGGTGGTATGAGTAAGAACTGTCTCAATGGTTTTTGCAAAGATATGTGGAGAATCGAAGTGCCCTGGGCTCCTACTGCGTAAATCTGAATCATGATTGATTCGTTCAACTGTGTTGAAGGTATTGGCCTACGATGACACCACTGAATAGGTGGCGAGAGAATCGACCGTCGCGATGGGTGAAAATGGAGGATTGTAAATACGGTGGCAGGTGAGTAGGGAAGGATTCAATCTGCGACTGCTGTGATTACATGGTAAAGAATATTATAATATTGGAGTTTCACCACCCTAGGGATATGAAAACACTAGTGAAAAAAATATATTTCACGACTTCTGCAAGGCGCAAATATCGCGTTTTTCACCGAGTTTTACGCCACTTCACGTAAAACGGGTGAGCTCCATCACATTAGCTCAACAGTAGCAATATATTACAATCTGTATAACACAATAGACTTTCACCCTAGTGATATGGGAAACACTAGTGAAAAATATATTTCACGATTATACATAGCGCCAATATTGGGCTGTTCACAGAGTATCACGACGCCACTTCATGTAAAACTCCATTGGAAATGTTAGGTTTATATAATGGAGTTTCACCCGTGATATGAAAAACACTAGTGAAAAAACCATTTCACTTGGTGTTTTTCACATGGAGTATTACCCTACTACTTCGTGTAGAACGGGTGGAATTGTCTTGTTATGATTTTCATACACAATTGTTTTATCTATCGCTGAAACATATACGTCCTGTAGTGAGTTTCACCCGTTTTACGTGAAGTGGCGTCGTAATACTCTGTGAAAACGCGATACTCGCGGTGATATGCAGTAGTCGTGAAATATGTTTTTCATATCACTAGGGTGGTGAGACTCCATCGGATGTGTGGCAGATTCCGACACCGAATGGAGGCGTCTCCGTCTGGTGATATCATATTTGTATTTGGCGGCAGTGTTGGTGGCAAATGGGAGAATTCTCTGCTATTGTAAGTTGTACATTTTGTGACGATGTTTTGGTATGGAAAAACGTATGTGGGAAAGTATGCGTGTTGGTGACTAGTGAGGAGATATCGAAAAAATTCTCGCTGATTTTTATGTAATCGTGTCCGACGATTTCATAAGAATTAGCAAGAATTTTTTCACACGTAGTTCGTGAAAATTTCGGAAAAAAACACACACAATTCGTATGTGAGTTTTCATGATGTGGCTTCGAAAATTTCTGTGCTCAGCTGAAGAAAGCAAACAAATATTCCAACACTGCTTATCATCAATGTTTGTCGATTTGGCGAGCCCAGTGTTGGAGGAAAATGTGGTAGATTCCCACAGCTGAGCTCAGGAGTTCGAATAAGAACCGCTCTGGAGCTTCACCCTAGTGATATGAGAAACACTAGTGAAAAACATATTGCACGGCTATTGCAAGGCGCAAATATCACCTTTTTCACGGAGTTTTACGACGCCACTTCACGTAAAACGGTCGTGAAACTCCAATTTCCCAAAATTTCCGCAAATTTTTCATATTGCCACCAACACATGTAGTCGTTGACCATGTGCATGAACATGCGAGAACATGTATATAGTTGAATTTTTAACGAATTAAGATACCGTACATCGTCGAATTCCTGGGACATTGAAGAGACTAGAGGCTATCGCTACTTCACACGAAGTGTCATAGACTACCTTGGCAACCAGCAGACTACAGTGGTGAGAAAAAGTATATAACTGATATGATCTAAATTGTGTGTTGGCGTTCACATCACGTTTTGTCGTCATATTTTTTCATAACTATTCATAATACTAAGTAGTAGGCGGTATGGGAATATATGTTTGGTTTCCTCAACTGAGCTCGTAAGTTTCCTCACTATATTATGAAAAATCGCTCGATTTTGGGTATGAGTATACAAAAAATCAAGGATAATTTCTCGAAATTTCCTCAAATTTGCATATTCCTAGCAACACATGTAGTTGACCATGTGCATACATTCCCGCACTGGTAGTAGGGAATATTTTTTTTCGAGAATTTCATTCGTGACAAATTTTAACAATATAATAGTGTTAGGAGAGCCTATGTACAGAATTTCACCTCAATTCGAGCTTTGGGTGAAAAGTTATACCTGTGATAGGAAATGGACTCTTTAGATTACGCGTACTGCATAGGGAATGTAAATACCGATTATCATCGTTCGTAAATCGGTGAAATACGACTTCAGATTCGCGACTTGTCCGAATTTCAAGAGGACAAACCCGACATGGACATCTATGGTCCGCAAGCCCCACGTGAAGACGCGTCGAGTAAATCACGAGGTTTCAGTTGGTCTTTCGAATCGACTCTTGTGTAGGTGTTTCCCTTGAAAACGATTTAAATTTCCCATCACAGCAAGCAGTGGAAAGAGGTATGTATAGTTTTTAATGGAATCTCACCCTTGTGATATGAAAAACATATTTCACGACTACTACAGGCCGCGAATATCGCGTTTTTCGCCGAGTTTTACGACGCCACTTCACGTAAAACGGGTCGTCGTGAAACTTCAACACTAGGGAATACACGTTTGGTTCCCTCGTGAGTTTCTTCGCTACATTATGGAAATATGAAGATGATTTTGGGTAGAAGTATACACATATCAACGATAATTCCCTCAGAAATTTCATGTTGTAGTTTCAGCCGCAATATGAAAAAAGCTAGTGAAAAATATGCATCACGACGATTAATGCATATCACCGCGAATGTCGCGTTTTTTCACCGAGCTACTTCACGTGAAACGGGTGAAACGTTATTTTTGTCAACACATGTAGTTGATCATGTGCGTATACTTTCACAATGAGCCGCTAGTGTAGAACATATTCGTCTTTTTGATAACGAATAGTGATAATATTCTTTGATTCGATTTTTAATAGATTTGACTTTCTTCATTGATATTTTATTCTCCCTCCGTTATTATCGCGGGTACTAATTTGCCACGGTTATGTCATGATGAACAAAAAAGTGTTGGAATATATGACTTGTCTCATATTATCTCATGTTCTCAAATGATTTCGCTTTGATTTTATGCTGGAATTCTGGTAGAAGTATACAGAAATCAATAGAAATTTAGAGAAACTCTCTCGAAATTTTCATGTGTTTTTATTTTCCCACACTTCCAGGTGATTTCGCGATGACCATGGTAAGAACTCATTCACAGACCAGCGAGGAAGGAGCGCTAATTGTGGGTTTGAATAAATTTTATTTTTTTTCTTTATTTTTTTTGTTTTCAGGTCATCGGTGGTTTCCGAACGTATGAATCACCCTATCCCAACGCTGATGTTTTTCCATCATATTCGTATGGATTTTTAATGTCGAGAAGTTTTATTATTTGATGTAGATACTATTTGGACGATGTGTGGTATTACAGTACGTCTGGTATGCTGTGGAAAGAAATATTCACCCTTGAGAAGGAGCCGTCTAAGCCGCATGTAAGAAGCTCATTTTTCCTGTTTCTTTAAGTTTTTCCCCTAATTTTTCCCAATTTCCCCCGAATTTTTCTCAATTTTTCCCAGTTTTCTCCGAATTTTTCTCGAATTTTTCGTTTTATTCATAGCCGCAATTAAATTAATAGCATCACTATCATCGTGATTGTACTCTTGAATGCAGTTTACTCCGTTTCAAGTTGTCAGAAGGAACATCAGTGTTATATAGGAGCACTCTTTTGATAATTTTCTATTCCACTTGAATCCTCAGGCTAGGCGAGGGTCAGCTGTGGTCACATTACGAGACCGATCAGGCGATGCTCAGCTTCTTATGTTTGGTGGACGACACCACGATGAGCTCTTCAATGATATGTGGGTGAGAAAGGGGATAAAAAATGTCGGTGAATTTTTTGTTAGTCGCGAAAAAATCGACTCTAATAGAATCGGAAATAAACTGTGCGGGTTGATATGGAAATGTGGAGTATTTTGGGAATTTTCTATTTATCGCATATACAATGTAACATGTGTTGTGATGAAAGTACTCGTTTGGGACTGTGATGATAGCGACAACTTGTTCTCTATAATTTATCCAACAAAATAACACACATTTGTATATCAAATAGACATGTACCGTATGTGGTTTGATACTAGTATAACTTTCGAAAAGAATTACCGAAAATCATAGATAAATGCACTAGGACGAAAGCCGTTTTAGTTTCTTGATACTGTGTTGTAGGGATACACGTTTGCTTCTCTCAGCTGAGCTCAGGAGTTTCCTTACTGATTATTGAAGTCTACATATGAATTCGGCTAGAAGTGTACAGAAACCCAGGGAGAACTACCCAATATTTCCTCGGAATTTCCATATTGTCATCATCACCAACACATGTAGTTGATGACCATGTGCATATCCCTTTCCCCCCACATTTTCATATTGTCATCATCACCAACACATGTAGTTGATGACCATGTGCATATCCCTTTCCCCCCACATTTTCATATTGTCATCATCATCACCAACACATGTAGTTGATGACCATGTGCATATCCCTTTCCCCCCACATTTTCATATTGTCATCATCATCACCAACACATGTAGTTGATGACCATGTGCATATCCCTTTCCCCCCACATTTTCATATTGTCATCATCATCACCAACACATGTAGTTGATGACCATGTGCATATCCCTTTCCCCCCACATTTTCATATTGTCATCATCATCACCAACACATGTAGTTGATGACCATGTGCATATCCCTTTCCCCCCACATTTTCATATTGTCATCATCATCACCAACACATGTAGTTGATGACCATGTGCATATTTTCCCCCCACATTTTCATATTGTCATCATTACCAACATATGTAGTTGATGATTATGTGCATATCCGTTTTCCCCCACATTTTCATATTGTCGCCATCACCAACACATGTAGTTGATGACAATGTGCATATTTTCCCACACTGTCAATGGAAAACTCCTAACCGCTGTATTTTCTCTGGAATGAATCCTAGAGAATGAAAATAACTAAATTTACAAGATCAGTGATTAGTTGTTTTATGATGCCCATTAGTAACGCCACTGAAGTGTGTTTGATTTTCATTGTCCGAAACGGAAAAGGGTGCATATCTCTTCGAATACACAAGGAAAATATTACATGACATGATAACTAAATATACAATTGCTAATATCGTGTCACAGTATGTAAGAAAAAATGAGAGCGAATTGCAAACTGGAATTTGGTCAGATCCTGGACGTACAACGATCACCGAAGAAAACGAGAAAATGGAAAAGAATAGACCAGACGATACGAGGCGTGAAGCCGCCAGCTACAGCATATCACACGTGGGTTTTGCGATTGTTGGGAAATTGAGCTTTCGATCACAGAATCATGCAGATGACAAATAGAACTCGACACATGAGAAATGCGTTTCGAATTTTCATAGATTCCGTGGTGAAATCGTCCCGTCCCGAGTACAGCGGAGCGAAGCGTTACACGCAGTGTTGGAATATATTGGGTCTGCAAGCTCCCTCACTAGTGAAACGAATTTGGGTAGAAGTGTACAGAAACCAATGAGAATTTCCGTAAATTTTCACAACACATGTAGTTGACCATATGCATATTTTCCAACATCGTTTTCATGATGTGCATCAACGAATGTGTTTGCAAGAGCAATGTGAAGATGAGCTACCGATTTATACACGTCAGATTGAACTACGTCGAGAGTGCCACTGACGATATGATGGTGCTGTTCGGTGGTCTCACATGGTCGGAAACGCGTATTGCAGAAACTGATGCTCTTCGCGATTTGGACAGAAGGTGTTTTAAATTGGCAAAAGTCAGATGAACATGTTTTGGCGGCGCACACTGACAATTGTGTGTTAGGAAATGAACAGTCACTTCTGCACAGATGATGGAAGTTATTGTGATGTACAGAAAGCTCTAGAGAGTATCGAAATGAGGTGTAGCAGTACGGACCCTGCTGCCGCCTTTTGTTGCGAGGTGTGTCGAATTCGGACGGCAATGTTGCGCGCTGTTGCTGGTTATGAATTGTATCTATATTCGAGTCATCTTTGCTATATTGGAGTCTCACCCTAGTAATAGTGAAAAACATATTTCACGACTACTGCATATCACCGCGAATATCGCGTTTTTCACAGAGTTTTACGCCACTTCACGTAGAACTCC